AGAGAATCCCGAGCCCGACCTGAGGCTCAATCTCATGACTATGAGACAAATGCCCTATGATTCTCCTATAAAACAAACAAAACAAAAACCAGGTACCACTTACCACCAGAGGCCTGCCTCTTCCGTCCCTCCTTGTCCCCCCAGCGTGAGTTTATACCTGAGAAGCTCCCAAGGTTTTGAAACAACAGAGAGCCTTCCCAATAGATACCCCAAAGAGAGAATATGGTAAACTATTGATGGATTTAAATACATTAAATTAAAAAGTGGGGTTTTTTTTCCTATGTCAGAAAAAACAAATAGACAAATGAGGAAATCTGCAACATTAACTGGGGGCTAATATGCTTATTGTCAAAAAAAAAAAAACTCTTACAGGTAAGTATTTTAAGGCTGCTCATTTAAATAAAAATAAGTAAAACATAAATAGTCATTTACTTCAAATTATATATAATTGATCCACCCTAAAATTTTAATGAAGATAAAATAAAACATAGATTTTTTTATCTATAAAATTGACAAAATAGTAATAATAATTGGCATTGATAAAAATCTAGAGAAAAGGAAAATTCAAAAGAGTTGCAATTTTCATTTGTTAGTATTTCACAAATACAATTTAACAAGACAGAGCCAAGGCTTGAGAGTGGATTTCCACTTTTGAAAATCTAAGGTGAAGAGAAAACAGATGCCCATACCTTTGTGGATTGGAAAATGAAAATTAACAAAATAAAACCCGGAAAAGGTTATGACATTGTAACGTAACAGTGAATTGGTGAATTATAGTACACTCAGCTAAATACAATGCTCTTTGACAATGTTGCTGAAAAATCTATATCACTATCACGGAGACATTTTAAATCTATTTTTTTAATTATTTTTTTAAGTTTTATTTATTTTTGAGAGAGACAGTCAGAGAGACAGACAGAGAGAGAGGGAGACACAGAATCTGAAGCAGGCTGCCAGCTGCCAGCACAGAACCCTACACAGAGCTAGAACTTACAAACTGCAAGATCATGACCTGAGCAGAAGTCAGATGCTTAACTCACCAAGTCAGCCGGGTGCCCCCAAATCTAGCGTTTAATGAAAGAAGGAAGATACAAAACAGTGTGTTCAGTATAATTCAATTGCTTAAAAAAGAAAATAACACAGGGGCGCCTGGGTGTCTCAGTCAGTTGAGAGTCATACTTGATTTCAGCTGGGGTCATGATCCCAGCATTCGAGGGGATGAGCTCTGCATCTTCAGGTTCAGTGCCAACAGTGCGGAGGCTGCTTGGGATTCTCTCCCTCTCCCTCCCTGCCCCTGCGCACTCTCTCTCTCTCTTTCTCTCTCTCTCTCTCTCAAAAACTAAATAAACTTAAAAAAAAAAAGAATATACTACATATACACGTGAGTAAAAATAATATACTAGAAAATATTGTCTTCTTGGGGGCAGACTTAGGGTGGATTTTATTTATTTAATTACTTGAGAGGGGGGGATGGAATGCAGGCCTGTGACAGTGGGGTGAACAGGGGCAGAGGGAGCAGGTGAGAGAGCATCTCAAGCAGGCTCCACTCTCCGCTCAGAGCCCAAGGAAGGGCTTGATCCCACAACCCTGTGATCATGACCTGAGCGGAAATCAAGAGTCTGAGGCTCAAATGACTGAGCCACTCAAGCACCCCTTAGGGTGGGTTTTATATCCAGTTATTTCTGCATTTCCTGTAATGATCATCTTTTCTAGAAAAAATGCATTATATACGTATTTATCTGTGGGGGTGGGGAGCGAGACAGAAGAGAGTTACAAAATCCAAACAGCCAAATGCAGGGGATAGGATGAGGGGGTGGAAGTAGATTAAACCTCCATTGATGTAATTCCCTGATTATAATCTGGAGACACGGTGGACCTCGACTGCATCACCCGGATCCCAGAGAGCATCATTCCATCAATTCTTCCGACTGCGGCAACATCTGGGAAAACCCAGGAGAATGCAGATCGATACCTTTTTTCCAAAAGATAATAAGCGTTAAGAAAAAATAATAAAAAATAAAAAGCCCATTTGGCAGCACAGCCGCACCTGTCTGGCTGTGAGATCTCCAGTAGGACGGAGAGCCTAAGATGCAGCTCTGGTAGCTGAGGTTTCGCAACCTGCCCCATCGGCCCCCACACTCACTAAGGTCCCCGATACCGGGCTAGCAGTTTCCAGGCAAGTCGGTAAAAGGTGGGGCGCCTGCGCAAAGCGTCGTGAGGTTCCCCCCCGACCGGCTGCGCTCCAGGTGAGCCTGTCCCGCGCGCTCCAGGTGCAGAGTCCGTGGAACGTCAAAGTGCCCAAGCCCCGGAGCTTTTGAAAACCTCTGGGGATCTGGGTGTCAGCAGGTTGCCAATCACTCGCCTTTCGTGCTTCTTGAAGGGTTCCGCCTTTGATGTTTGATATTTGGTGGGGATGGCAAAAGACATGCCTACATCCCTCCCCCATCCTGACGGGAGCACGTTGCCAAATTGTGCCAATTGTGCTTACGCGGAAGGCTTATTGTGTCCCTTTGCAGAACTTTTTATGGGCTCAGCTGGTTCTAAATAGTTGTAATCATTGTTGGAGGGGGTGGGTGCCTGGGAAGTAACACGTGCATCAGTCCTTAAATGCCATAAACTCTTAGCTGCCTTGCTAAGTCTTTATGGAGTTCCACAAATGACATATTGTTGGGTTTCTCTAATATCCTACTATATAGCTTTCCAAAAAGAAAAAGGCCTGAAATTTTTTATATTAGTGCTAAAAGTGATCATCAGTTCTGCACAGCAGCACGTGCAGTTTTGTTTTAAAACGCAATTTATCAAATTAATGTGCAGATGACAACAGTGGCTTTGACCTTGCTAGTGCAGATTCAACTAATTTGGATTCATGGGATTAATTTTACAATTTAAAAAAAGTTACTTAAGAATTGTTTGTACAGGAGTTACTTTTACAAATAAAAGTGGACATGTGGCCAATGTTTCCTGCCCACACTTTTGTTTCCTAAATATCCTTTTAACTTTTAACCTTACTTTGAGTTGGGACTAATAGTTTCTTTTCAGAGTTTAACATTATTTCTTGGTAGATGACTCCAATTCATGATATATGTCAAATTAATACATTGTCATTGTGGAATAAATGTACATGCAATTTTACCTATTAAGGATGTTAATATACCAAGTATGTAATCATTGTTAATAGTCTAAGGAAGCTATGTTTCCTATAGCTCTAATATTTTTTTATTAAAAAAATTTATTTAACATTTTATTTTTGACAGAGAGTGGGGGAGAGGCAGAGAGAGAGAGAGAGAGAGGGAGACAAAGAATCTGAAGGAGGCTCCAGGTTCTGAGCTGTCAGGACAGAGCCCAATGTGGAGATCAAACCACAAACCGTGAGACCATGACCTGAGCTGAAGTCGGACGTCTCACTGACTGAGCCACCCAGGTGCCCCTCTTGCTATGTCTTAATAATCTATGTCTAAATTTGACAGAAGTTCTTGAGGATGAAAACTTATAAAGCTACTTTATTTCATTCTGTTTTTATGTTACACTTGAGATTTGTGTATCTGTACAAAGAAAACTGGTATGTAAATTAAAATAATGTACAAAGACTGAAAAAAGTTTTAGCTTTTTGGTCCTGCTAAAAGTAATTGCATCATCTGGCCCCTTTGGTGGCTCCTAGGGATGTCAGATCCTTTGCTTTATAAGATTTTTCATTCACATTTGGAAGTGACGGGAGCAGACACCCTAGATGAACAGCTGGTCCATCTGGCTGTGTTGTGGCAGCAAAGGAAGGATGGGTACTTACAGGGCAACTGACACAACAATGGGCAGTAGGCATGGAATCTGAAGAGCTGCATAGGAGTTGCATCCAATATAGGCACCATTCTAGTTCTTATTTGTGTTTGTGTGAAGCCGACTAAAGCGAAGCCGACTAAAGCATCTTGGACTAATCTGCCATGATGACCGCTCTGTGACTGGAACCCTTCTTGAGCACAAGCCACCCTCTCCCATTCTTTCTTTTGGCCCAACTACACCCTTAGGTAGACCCTTGGGGCGTAACATCCTTGATGTGCTCTGGAGATACAGCTGTTCTCAGGCCTTCCCTCCTGAGTGGTCCCCCAGCACTCCCAGCCTCCAGGGCTATAAAAGTAGGTCCTGGGAAAAGGTACTTGTGGCAATCTACTCATTTGTGGCCTTCCAAGACATGCTTCTGTCCCGTCTGTCCGTAACCCCCCACCCCCCATAATAAACCATTTCTTGTCAAGCTGGACTCATTGGCCTTTTCAGTCTTAGGGATTTGGTTTTTGGAGGTCATTTTGCATATAACTCCCTTTTACAGAATGGTGTTTCACTGCCTTTATATTTAAGATCTATTCACATTGCCTTGTTAGTTCTGCTTTATTCCTTCTGAAGTCTACAAAGTATTGCATAATATGTATCTGTTGCACTTACTGATTCACTTAGAATTGGGCACATAGGTTGCCTCCAACTTTTTACTAAGTTAAATAATGCATTGTATCTGCTCCCCGCCCCCGCCTATTCCTCTAACCAAGTTTGAATTTTTAAGGAATACTCATCGCATTGTACTGACCGGAGTGCTGGCAGCTAGTAAATATTATTTAATAAGTATTTAGGTAACTGATTTTTGGAGGGCCTCAAAAACCAGGTAGTGTGTTTATTTGACTCCAGGTCAATTTGTTGAAACTAGATTTACAGAAAGCCATTTCCAGAATGAAAAATGTGTCAAGATCCAGTCTGCCAAAAACAAATTCTCTATTACCAATCTGATGAATTGTTGAAGGCTGTTAGTTTGAGCTCTGGTGCCTCAGCCTTCTGTGAGGCGAGCCCAGGGACAGGGAAGTATGCAAGGGAAGTATACCAAAACAGAGATGAACTGCAAACTCCGTTTAAGAAAAACTTCATCTGTTTGTGTATCAAACGGCTGGGGTAGATGCAAAACTAAAGCTTTGAGGGAAGTCTACTTGGCAATCCAGATTTCATCTGCTAGTAACAGGCACAGAAAACGAAATGAAACTGATTTTATTTCATAACCAGCTGTCTAGAGACAGGCGGGGGCTGGTGTTGGGTCAGCAGCTCAGCAACGTGGGGACAGGAATCTCCATGGCTCACTTGGCCCTTCCTGCCTTCATGGTTGGAAGAACTACTGCAGCTCCAGCCTCTTCTTTAGTGTTTGTGGCAGAACAGGGAAACAGAGGTGCTCTAGCTGCATCTGCCCTTCTGACTGGGAAAGCAGAAGTTCCCCCAGTAGCCCCCCACCCAAAGCCGCATCTTGAGACCACCCCTAGCTGCAAGAGAGGCTGAAGAGTGAACATCTAGCTTTTCCACATTCTTAGTGGAAGCAGGGCCTCTCCCTCTGGTATAATTAATTTCTCTTTCAAAATGGGTAGTTGCTATGTCAAGAATTTTCTATCAACAATTTTAAGAATGTACTTAAAACAGATACATTTCAGCTCTACTACCTTTCTTTCTTTCCCCCCTAACATTCTGCAAAGGGGCTAAAATAAAATTACTTCATCGTTCAGGAAAGAGTGGGGAAAGTGTCCAAAGGCCAACAGTGACAAAATACTTTCAACTACTCCTCTGCCCAGTCATTGTCCTTCCACACCAAAGAACATCTGGAAAACATCTGCACATCCTTGGGCATTTAAAAACTGATACAGCTGACCGAAGTCCATATGGTTTCCTCTGGCTCCATTCACACTGAACACTTTTTCTTCGAAACATGAAAATTTTCTTTCTCTTTCCATTTTGTCATTTGTACCGTCAAAAGGGATGTCTTCTCGATGGCGAATTAAAATTCTCTTCCAGTTTAATTTTCTGAGTCTGAAAAGAAAGTTTCAAAGTAGAAATATTGGGAATTTGTTTTACCTTCTAAAGCACTGAAAATACAAGTTCTATGACAGACTTATCAATGCCTTTTCCTGGAAGTAAAGAAATCTAGTTTTATCTCACAAGGTTATTTTAATCAAATATGATGCTGGTCACCATCCTATCCCCAAGCTTTATTTATTGCTGCTGCCTCATATCAAGATTTTAGAAATGTGGAAACTGCTCTCAAATTCTCAACAGGACTTTTTTAGAAAATCATTTAGGAAATCAGTACAGAAATGAGAAAATTAGAAATCTCTTTGTTTCACAGGGTATGCACAGTTTATCCCATCAATGAGAAGAATCAGATCCATGGAAATGGAGGGGATCATAGCACATAGGGCAGGGGCTCAATTTAATAGCTATTTATAGAACATCTCATATGTGCATTGTGTCAGGGAAGACGGTGATGCTGACCATGTGTGAGCTCTGTCTTATCCACTGGCTTGACACTGAATCCCCATAAGGTACAGCCCCAGGGATACACTAATTTCCATATCTCTAGTATCCTGCTTACTACTAAAATTATTGACCCAGCATACAAAATTTGTGAAAGCAAACCTTGACCAGAATTCTTCACAGGCGCTTTGTGGGCCTTCCACACAAACAACACCAGGTTTCCCAGGCATGCTAAATCCAGACAGGGAAAGCTCCCTTGCCCACTCTAGAATATACTTTCTTTTGTACTTGTTGTAAATGTGATGGCTATAGATCCACAGTCTTGTGAGAATGAGATCAACTGGCTGGACTGCACTTCCTGGAGCAGGGGAAGGTGTGGTGTCTCTGCTGATATAGTTAGAAGCATGTTCTCTAACCCACTCTGTGGCATTCAATATACAGACATCTCCGAGACAGTTCTTTTTCAGGTATGCAGTCAGATCTGTGTTCAGCTGAGTCTGCTGAGACCTACTTAATGATACCGATCTGATGGAAAAGATATGGAATACAAAAATTAAATCAATTTTCTTGGAACAGAAAACAAACTTAAGAATTGCTTTTATTTTCAGATAAATCTGAACTCTAGTGTTGTGTTGGCCAGTTTCTATAACATACCTGACAGTAATTTCAGGCAGAACTTCAGGGTATTTAAAGGGAAGAATACAGGCCAGAGAAAACATCACCTGATTAAAAAAAAAAAAAAAAAAAAGAACATGTCCTAAGTGCTGTTTTAAGTCTTGATTTGTTTTAGTTCTTCCAAAAGCAAACTGAATTACCATTTCTTCCTCAGATACATCCAGGTTCATATTGATAGTAAAGTAAACTTTTGAGGATCGTCCATCCATCGTCCTCTTTTCAATACAATCTTTCACTTCTGCTAAAGCCAGCTGGTCATTCACTATGAGTTCGTTCTCACCGGGGAACATACTGGTGAGCAGGTCTAGCTCAGAGAGCTGGGCCTCTGCCTGTTCAATCTCAATCATTTTTGGATATCCATAAATTTCTAAGGAGATGAGATAATAAGAGAGATAATTTACAAATACAATCTTAGGAGAACTTAATAGATCAATATAGGTACTTATTGAAAGTGTATTTGATTTCTTCATAAAATGTGAAATTTAAATAGGTGCAATATATGCTAAGGATCCAAACCATGGGCCAATCCAGTGAATGCCATAAAACTCTAATAATAACCAGGCACCAAATTTCTCTGTATCTAGACAGTTGATCTGGCATCTTGAGCTACCACAATGAGCAATTTCATTGAAGTAAACTAATTACGTAGTCAAAAGTCTTATCAATGACATTGCCAGGAAAGAGGCTATGACTGGTCACTTTGGAAACCTAGAATGAACAGAATAAGTAAGAGATTTAGTAAGAGATGGTTAATATTTTTCTCTTAAAAATTAGTGTTTATTCATTTTTAAAAGCAGAAGAATCTGAAGAGAAAATAAATTCTAATAATCCCATAGCTCAAGTAACCCCTGTTAACATTAAAACAAAAAAAGTACAAGGTTAAAAAGTTCAAATGGTAGAAGGTTGAGAAATGAAGATACAGTTTCTGCTGATCTACCTGCCTAAGTTTCCCACCTAAGGCAGAGTTTTGGTGTTTCAGAAACAGAAGACATTTTAGGCATTGTACATATACCTCTGTATAAAATAGATGGTGGTATAAAGTTTAAAGGAATGTAAAGAATGAGATATATAATCGAAATATATCCCCAGGGATCATATATACATATCTTTCTTCCCCCACTCCTTCCTCTCCAAATATATGTTTAAGATCTATTCAGTGTCAGTACATAGGGGTTTATCTCATTCTTTCTAGTAGTTGACTGTCAGACTGAATCATGTAGATATGTCATAATGTACTGCATTCTTTACCTATTGATGGGAACTTGGGTTGTTTCTACACTTTTGCTGTTATGAATACTTATATAATAGTTCTTTGTATATATACAATTTGGCAAACTGTTAATACTATATACTCAAGGATATGTTTGTAGAGGGGGCTTGTTGGAGCAATAGGTACAACATTTTAAATGCTGGCAGATATTCCCAAGTTGCCTTCCAAAAGTTGCCATACTGAAGTTTACGTTTTTATATAGTACCACCTCTCTTTTAAAAATTTTTTTTTAAATTTATTTAAGTAATCTCTACAGCCAACATGGGGCTCGAACTCACGACCCTGAAATGAAGTGTTGGAACACTCTTTGGATCAAGCCAGGCAGCCCTAAAAGAATTCTTAACACATAGTCTTTTTATGGCATTTTGTTTGTGTCTATGTGTACCTCCCCCATTTAGGCATGTTCATCAACTTTTGCTTTCATGGCTTCTGGACTTTGAATCTTTGTTATAAAAGTCTTCCCCATTCCAGACTTATAAAGGTTACTGAGATGCTAATCAAGTAGGATTTTTTTAAAGTTTATTTATTTATTTTGAAAGAGAGAGAGAGAGAGCAAGTGGGGTAGGGACAGAGAGAGGGGGAGAGAGAATCCCAAGCAGGTTCCACACTGTCAGTGCAGAGCTCAGCCTGGTTCTCAAACCCACAAATAATGAGATCATGACCTGAGTCAAAGTCAGACACTTAACCGACTGAGGCACCCCCAAGTAGGACTTTTTTAAAATATAAATTTAATTTCATTTGCAAGAAAACATGTGGGGACTTCTGGTAAAACATGGAGAATGAGCCTTGTATAAATATTTCCCTTTCTCTGTGACCCCATTAAAATGAGAGTAAAAGGATAAATTCTCAAAGACAAAGGGAAAGGAAATAACAAAAGCTATTAACAAAAATTTGAAAGGTGGAAAGGGGTAAATGAGTTATAACTAACTTAGATTTCAGCTTTCTTTCCTCTATTGGAAAGCTTGGTCAGGTGGGTAGGGAAGCTGCAGAACCTTAGGAAGGCTCAGGAAACAGCACCAGGTACCTTAGAAAGCAGCAATGTAGTGTGCAGTAGGCAACATGAATTTGTTGAAAGTCTGGAGTCTAGACTTTAACTAGACTCTAGTTTAGGATTTCTCAATCTTGGAACTATTGATATTTCAGACCAGATAATTCTTTGTATGTATGGGTATGTGTGCCGGGGTGGGTGGGTGGGTGGAGGAATCTCTTTTAATTATTGTATTTAGATGATTTACATTTAATACAATTACTGAGGCTTAAGTCAACTATATTATTTTATGTTTGCTTTCTATATTTTTAATTTCTTTGTTTTCTTTTCCCTGCCTTTTGTAGCTTGAAAATATTTTGAAATTCCATTTTGGTTAATGTATAATGTCTTTGCATTACTTTTATAACTCTTTTAGTGGTTATTCTACACACCCTATATAAAACATCACACACACACATATAAATATCACTGGTGTCTTATTTTAACAGCTTGAGTGATGTACAGAAACTTTGTTACTTTATGTCACTTTACCTTCCCCCATTTATAATATAATAATCTTAAAAATTTCTTCTATATACATTTAGAACCACAAGAGTGTTATAATTTTTGCTCCAGCCATCAAATAGAATGTAGAAAACTCAGCAGAAGGGAAGTATTTGACCATACTTTCATCTTTTTCATGATATTTCTTCCATAATAATTCCTTTCTTGTTTCCTTTCCGTATAGAGAACTTACTTGAGCAATTTTTTAGGGTAGACCTACTGGTGACAAATTCTCTTAGTTTTCTTTCATGTCAGAATTGTCTTGATTTACCCTTCATTCCTGAGGATATTTTCACTGGATGTGGTATTCTAGGTTGGCAATTCTTTACTTTCAGCACTTGAAAAATATCATGTCTCTTCATTTTGGCCCCCCACAGTTTCTGGTGAGAAATATTCTCTTATTTGAACCTTATAGCTACGGTTCATTTCTGCTTGCTTTCAAGACCTTTTCTTTGTCTTTAGTCTTCAGAAGCTTGACTATGATATATCTTGATGTGAATTTCTTTGAATTCTTTGTGCTTGACATTCATTCAATTTCTTGAATCTGTTAATGCTTTTTGACAAATTTGGGAAATTTTCAGACATCATGTCTTCAAGTACTTTTTCCGCTCTGTCTTCTCCTTTTGGAATGACATGTTAGATCTTTTGTTATAGTCCCACATGCTCTTAAAACTCTGTTTGTTAATTTATTTTGGGCCTATTTGTCTCCACTGTTTAGACTGGATAATTTCTATTATTATGTTTTCCAGTTAACTGATCCTTTCTTCCGTCCCCTTCCTTCTGTTGGTGAGTCCATCTACTGTGTTTTCAATTTTGGTTATTGCATTTTTAAGTTCTAACATTTGCATTTGGTTCTTCTGTATATCTTATTTCTTTACTGAGACTCTTGTTTATTTTGAGAGAGAGAAGGGGGGGGGTGGGAGCAGAGAGAGGGAGAAAGAATCCTGAGCAGGCTCTGTGCATTGACAGTGCAGAGCCTGATTCAGGGCTCCACCTCATGAACCATGAGATCATGATCTAGGCTGAAATCAAGAGTTGGATGCTCAACTGACTGAGCCACCAGCTGCACCACCTCCAATTTTTTTGCTTGAAGTGTCTCTGTCATTGCCCACTGAAATGATAGGTGTTTTGTTTATTTATTTAAGTTTTATTTATTTATTTAAGTAATCTCTACACCCAATATGGGTTGTGAACTCATGATCCCGAGATCAAGAGTCCCATGTTCTTCCAACTAAGCCAGCCAGGCACACTTATGAATGGTGTTTTAAAATCTTTGTCAGGAGCACCTGGCTGGCTCAGTAGGAAGAGCATGCTACTCTTGATTTCAGGGTTGTGAGTTTGAGACCCAAGACAGGTACAGACATTACTTTAAAAAAAAAGTCAGATAATTCTACCATCTCTGTCATCCTGGCATTGACATCTATTTATTGTCTTTTTCACTTAGTTTGAGATTTTCCTTGTTTTTGGTATGACAAGTGTTTTATTTTATTTAGGTATTATGAGACTTTAGGTATTATGAGACTGAATTTTACTCAAATCTTCCATTTAGCATACTTTTTCTGGTACTGCTCCTGAAAGGAGGAAAAAAAGCGGGGGTGGGGGGTGGGGGGAGAGCTTTTGGCGGTGGGAGGGCCTCCTTACTGCTACGCATGTGGCCTCCACTAACACCATGTTGAGGGGTAGCTTTGCTACTGCCAGGTAGTGGTGAAAGTCTGGCCTCCCTACTAGGACATTACTCCAGCAAGGTGAAGGAGGGATACCTTGTTATCGCTGCATCAGAGTGGAATTACAGGCTCCCCATATGGTCTGACATGGACCTGACATGGGGTCTAACACCAAAACTGTGGTAAGGTCCTTCTTATCACCAGGCAGGGAGGAAAGTCCTGGGTCCCTAATCGGATTGTTTTTGATACCATCCTGACAAGGAGTGGGAATTGAAGTGCTTATTACGGGGTCGTGACAGTGGAATCAAGGCTCCCTTTGCTGGTGTGGTTGGGGGAGAGGACACAGTGTTTTCTGTCGTATTTGCTTGGTGTAGAGCATTTATTATCTAAATGTTTTCCGTCTTGCTCAGCTGGACATTTCTTGGTACTTTAGCTAGAAAGAGCAGGCTTTTGGGGGGCTTTAAAATTCTTTTTTGGTCTTTACCCTTGGCATTTCTGGGTTGCTGCTTTTTAAATCAAGTCTTGGATATTTAAGGCAAAAAAGGATACCGAAGAAAGTCACCACTGTGTCTTTCCTTGGGTCCCAAGGTCCCTAGTTGGTCTGCCTTCTTCTCCACGTTTCAGAGTCTTTTGTGTTTGCTTTAGAAATAATGTTCAAGATCCTTAGTTGTACTTCGCAGGACAAATTAGGAAAAATATATCTACTCTGTTGTTCCAAAAGTGGAAGTCCTGTCAACACAATATTGTTAACTTACCAAATTGGCATGTACACACACACGTGCGTGCGCACGCCCCCTCCCCCGCAACAGACACGCACACACAAATGGTTAATGTCTGGTAGTTGTCATAGAAGAAAAGGTTGCTATAGGAAAAACTGATCTAAATATTCCAATTCTGTGAAACCGACCTAAGGAAAAAAATCAGACATTATATAAAAAAAGTGTTTGTAAGGATGTTTACTGCTTATTATTTATAATAAAAAAAATCAGAAATGACCTAATGTTCAACAATAGATAGTTAAGTAAATATACATATAAATAGTAAACATATCATGAGATCATTAGAAAATGTATATTAACACTGATGTTCATGATACATGGTTACCTAAAAAAAAGCAGATTATAGAAGGATATAAATGGTTATGGTCTTATTATCCTTGTTACATCATTACACATACATGAACAAAGTCAGAAAGATAACTCACCAAACTACGAACAGTTGGCTAAATGTGGGTAGAGGGAAGAAGGGAAGGACTAATTTGTATGTTTCTATATTGTTTGAAGTTTTAGGATTAGTATTTAGTGCTTCTGAATTCAGAAAAAAAGAAAGGTTACACATCTGAAAAGAAAACAGAGCTCAGTCCCACTGCTGCAAAGGAAACATGACTTACCTTCTCCAAGAGAATTTACTCTGTGAAATCAAGCACCGTTATCTTGGTTAATGCTGTCTTCATGGAACTCTTCTCACTTCTGATAAATGTTTATTGAATAACTACTATATGTAGAGCTTCATCCTTCATTCCTTCCTGTGGTTTTCTATTTAGTTTGAGGATCAGGACATATTATCTAATAAGATATAGAACAATGAAGATAAAAAGGTTAAGTGTTAAATGACTAGTACAGGCATTATCGTGGGGATTGAGAGGAGTGCATGATCAATGAAATGGGTTATCAGGAAAGATTTAAGGAAGGAGACAGGATCTGAGTCAAATCCTGAAGAGGGGCTGAGACAAGCAGAGAAGGAGGCATAGTGAGGAGAGAAGAAAGATCCACGAGGCAGGAAAGCACAAGAAAATTGGTATGGACCTGAACCTGTCCCTTCCTCACAACCCCAACTACCAACGCCTGGTTCAGGGGCTCATCATTTGGACTATTTTCTCTTGTGCTAGTTACTTTTTGTTTGTCCCCTAAACACATGCTTGGTCCTTCTTCTCCCTGCTCTGGACTCTGAAAAACTGACCCCTGTAGCCTATACCATTCAACCTTTCTGCCTTTCTTACGGTTAGGTTCAGCTAATGGCTCTGTCGTGAAGGAAGATGGCAGGAGAAAGACCCTAGAGTATTTCTCCACTACTCCTTTCCTGTTTTGGTGGGATTCTGACAATGGCCATGACCCTCTAAGACCATAGCTTTTGTGGGAAGTCCTTCTTCCTCAGCTCCAGCAGACCTTTCAGGCCTCTGGGTAGTGGAGGTTTCTTTAAACCTGGCCACACCTCTGTAAACAGACCCTTTATTAAGCAGTCTCTTCAAGATTTCAAAGTTGAGTGTGTATCTGTCGCCTTCTAGAACTTTGACTCCTCTTATCTAGACTCTGCCTCCATCAACTCACACTCCATATTGCCATTATATGTATTGTATGCAGTGTCTAACAGAGGTCTACAAGACACTCAGGAAGGCACCGTCTATCTAATAGAAAAATGTTCACATGATTTGTGATTGGGAACGAGGGCTGCAGTCTGAGAGGAGGAGTCGGGTGTGTTAGGTTTCCCTTAGTTGAAGGCAAACTAGCCAAAAACCCTGACAGCTACTTAGTGAAGTGAATTTATTCCAGCTCCTGATCTGGCTGTGAGTTTCACAGACTGGTGGCACAAAATGCCAGCACACGTAGAGTGGATCCCGTTTACGAAGTCTGCCTTGGATGATCCATTATCAAGCCCTCTAGGAACATGTCTCTCCTGTTATTCAAATCTTCTTTATTGTATCCAATACAATTGGATCATTTCTTTAATATTAGAAAATGGTATTTGGTCAACAGTTGAGCTAGTTCACTATATGGTACTTCTAAAGAATGAAAAAGCTCTACTTAAATAGAAATGTAAATTACTCACAGGTAATTTAGATCAGTAACAGTAGTGGGTCCTGTCACAAACACATCAAGGATTACGAGAATGACTAAATGTGGTGGGGTGTTGAGTTCATTAGGATTAACTCGATAGGAATCAGAACAATTTGAGGCACTCTTGCACACATTGGGCTATGTCCACAGATCAGAGTATAAATCAATGCCAATACTTCATTCCTAATCCCAGTGCTTTTTCAACTTAAAGTCATTAAAACACTGTTTATCAGGGTGCCACTGTCATGCTGGGAAAAAAAAATTTCCACAAAGCATTTTTTGCTCAAATAAGTTCTGGAAATGCTAAATGACACTAAGTTTAACAAGTTTCTTCAGGGTGACCATGGGTCATGCCATTGTACCAACTAGGTTAGCATTTATCTTAGATAAAAATAACCCCATTTGGAAAACAAATTATATGGACACACTTTTTGTATGTGGCATCTCAATCTTTGTTGTTAGATTCCAATATGCATTGTGAATTTCTAAGAAGTTTTAGTATACTGAGTGTCCCAAACCTATTTGACCCCAGAACGTTTTTTTTGTTTTTTGTTTTTTTTTTCCCTAGACCTAATATTAGCTCTCTTCTACACAGATCAGAAACCCCTGCTTTGTCCTCTGGCCACCCCAATTCAAGTAGTTTAAATATTACCAATGCTACTTACCATTTTTGAGTTCTTTACAAAACCTGTTAGAGCAGCAAACACTTCCCTCCCTTAAACACAATGTTTCCTTTACTAACTAATGACTTCATATAATTTTATATCCTATTTCCATTTGACATCATACCTTACGCATTTCCTCTGTTATTAAAAAATATTCATGTAAGTACTTAAAATCCCTGACCTCACTGGAATTCCATGAATATCTTTTCTAGTCTGTTTTATTTTTTAAATGTTTAGTTTTGAGAGAGAGAGAGAGAGAGAGAGAGGAGAGAGGGAGAGAGAGAGAAGAGAACGGACTGAGAAGGGGTGAGACTGAAAGAGACAGACAGACAATCCTAAGCAGGCTTCGTGCTGTCAGTGCAGAGCCCTACATGGGGCTCAAACTCAGGTACCCAACTGTGAGATCATGACCTGAGCTGAAATTCAGAGCCATACAACTTAACTGACTGAGCCACTCAGGCACCCCTAATCTGTTTTAAAGTTGAGGAATCCAAGAAACAATTGAGTAGATGGTTATTAGAGGAAGTGAATTTACTTTGTATTTTTCATCACAGTGGTTTAAGTATGTACTCTGTGACTTAGATGCCAATGTGCCCATACCAACTGTGTGACCTCAGGTAGGTGACTTAATTTCTCTGTGCCTCAATCTCCTCACCTCTATAGGGTCGCTTGAGGATTAAATGATGATGTGTGGAAAGTGCTTAAAACAACGTGTGGCAACAGAGTACTATAAAAGTGGTTGCTATTATTGTTATTTGTTGTTCATCCACAAATGTTTCTTGAGTACCTACTGTGTGTCAAGCATTGTCCTTGGCATTAAGACTATAACAATGAACAAGAATCACACAAAAATCTCGGCTATCATTAAGACTTAATTCAATGGGAGAAGACCATGACAACAAAAAAACAAATATGTATGCCTAGCATAACTGTTATGATAAAGACTGAAGAAGATGAGGGGGATAAGGAACAAGTGGGTAGGAGGGAGGAGAGGGTTGTTCAACTGTACACAGGGTACTCAGGGACCACCTCTCTGCTAAAGGTGACTATAGAGAAGAGACTGAATAATGAACCTAAAGCATTAAGAGATTGGAAGAATGGATTTGGCATTTATTTAGGTAGGGAAAATGGTGGAAACTTGAAGTCTGGTTTTAGAAATACTATGGAATGGGGCTGCCTGGATCGCTCAGTAGGTTAAGCCTCTGATTTGTGATTTCTGCTCAGGTTCACAGTCCTGAGTTTGTTGGGTGGCTCAGTTGGTTAAGCAGCCGACTCTTGATTTCTGCTCATGGTCTCATGGTCCGTGAGTTCCAGTCCCGCATTGGGCTGTGTGCTGACAGCTTGGAGTTTGCTTGGGATTCTCTGTCTCCCTCTCTCTGCCTTCCCCCCCCCCCCCACTCCCTCTCTCAAAAATACATAAACATTAAAAAAATGAAAATAAATAATTCTCTACCAAGACATTAAAAAAAGAAATATGGAATGAAGTGCCTATTAAGACACCTATTCAGTAGAGATGTTCAGCAGACAGTTGGATGTAATTATGTAGTTTATGAGGTATCCAGGTGGAGATTAATTTTGCGAGTAACCAACATATAGTGAAAGGCATGCTTGTTTGGTCACTCAGGGAGTGAGTGAAGTTGGGAGAAAGTCCCACCGAGTCTGGAGGTCTGGAAGATGAGATGGAGCCAGCAAAGAAGTTTGGGGCCAAGCGACCCGTGTGCAGATAACTATGGGAGTGATGTCACAAGTATATAATTTACTTGTCAGACTTATTTCCGTTGATGACATTTCAAGGTAAACAAACAAAAAAACCTTGAGGAGAAATTTCCGACTCAAGATTTCAATGAATGCTGTACGAATGCAGAATAAAACTTGAGCTTCCTAAGTGGAATCATTCTTTTTCCTCGTAGACTTTTATTCTATAGAGGAGATCGGGTCCAGGCTGCACAAGACCTGACACCGGTCAACTGGCTGAAACATACTACCGAAGCCTTGTGCGCAGGCGCCGTCGCCCCTAACAACCGACTAGCGGGGGGGGGGGGGGGGATGGGAATGCGGGCGGCGTCAGGAACTTCCGGCTGGAACCAATGAGCAGTGTGCAGCCCGCGGGGAGGCGGTGCCACTGCGTCGTGAAGTTCCCGGAGGGTGAAACTGGAAGCCGCAACCCTGGGAACCCGCGCCCTGGGAACCCCCGATCCGGCTGGGAGGCAGTGGACGGTAGACTCACCTGGAGCGATGGACCCCCTCTGTGCTGGAACACCGGGTTTTCTGGCTGCATGGACAGCTCAGGTCTCGTCCAGAAGGAGCCTCGGAATTCCAGGGCCAGGGAATCCGAAGGCTACAAGCCACTCCTGCGGGGCGGCCTAGGGGAAGTGAGACAACGCCTTCCCGGCCTGGCGCATGCGCGCGCTCGCTGGCGGCGCGCCCCGGAAGCCCAGCTGCTCGGTGACTGGGATTCTAGGCTCTGCTGTTCTCAGGCACAGAGTTCTTCTTCTTCTTCTTCTTCTTTTTTTTTTAATATTTTTTCTTTTCTAGGAGAGGGAGAGAGAGAGCGACAGCGTGAGCAGGGGAGGGTCAGAGAGAGAGGGAGTCACAGACTGAAACAGGCTCCAGGCTCCGAGCTGGCAGTCAGCACAGAGCCCGACGCGGGGCTCGAACCCACGAACCGCGAGATCATGACCTAAGCGAAAGTCGGACGCTTAACCGACTAAGCCACCCAAGCGCCCCTAGCACAGACTTCTTATTCCATCCTACGGCATTTCCCAGCCGCTGCCGCTGTCACGGAGAAGTATTAGCCAGCATTGTTTCCTGGGTCAAGAAATGGCCTATTAGAGTAACAAACGCTCCTCAGATTCAAACACGTGTAGGAATCATTCGATTTCATGCAGCTTAGGGTTCGGTAGGTAGATGTAGGGTCCCTGTTCTGCGCTCCTAATGTCTTCGCACACAATGGGGATGGTGTTGTCCCCTGAAGGCCAAGGCATTAGGCAGAGGTGAGCCTGGATAGTGGTTGTGGTGACGTTAGGAAATGCCACGTGAATGCATGGAAATTTATCTCGGCTAATTAAAGGATAGTTTGAAGGCGACCCCACCATTAAAATAATTTTTACAATCTCAATATCGGTAATGCACTTTTTTCTTTGTGCTGTTACATATTTTTAGAAATCTCAAGATTTTTTTTGTGAACACATTCACAGTGTTCCAACTAATACCAATTAGTGCACAACTTTTTTCCCCTTTTTTACAAAAATAAGATTAGTACACGTGTTTTCATGGCTGCACCTTTTATCTTTTACTTGGTGCTTTGTGGGCATTTTTCGATGTCATTAAATCTTTTTTTCTCCAACTACTCTGAAAAATTTCAAGCATACAGTAAAGTTGAGAGAATTTTACAGTGAAACAGTAACAATTCTTTAAGGGCGTGGAGAAGGAGGGATTTTGCCCAGGGAGGCAACAATGTCTCAGGGGACTTTTGGTAATGTCCGAAGATACTTTGAGTTGTTTCAACTGGAGTGCTTCTGGCATCGAATGGATAGGACCTAGCCATGCTGCTCGACTTCGGCAGTGCACAAGACATCCCCCTACAACAAAGAATTTGCTGGCTATTATGAGTAAGGCTACTGTGAACATTCTTGTAAAAGTTTTCGTTTCTAATGACCTTCAATAAGCATTAAGCACTTACTATGTTCCCGACACTTCTGGGTACTAGAGACAGCCATGAACAAGACAAAGATGTCCCAGCTCTCAAAGTTTACATTTGCGCATTTCTGTGAATGGGGCGGGGAAGAAATATATAGGTAAATATGAGGAAAAAAAATACTAGGTAGTGACAACTGCTGGGAAGTGATCAGGTGGCTATATAACTAGATTGCCCACCCAATTTCTCTGTGAGTGACTTAAGGTGTGAACAGAATTAGAATTACCAACCACAGAAGATCATGGGGAGCAGCATTCTAGGCAGAGGAAGCAGGTGGTACAATGTCCATAAGGCTGTGTTTTAGAATGGAAAAAAAAAATTCCTGTGTGCTGAGAGAAGACTGTATCAGCGGTAAATAGCTGGAGGTTACAAATGTAACCATTGTTACTCTGGCCAATTCGACAGGTTAGGATGCCACTATCTTAACCTCTCTCTTTTTTTTAATATGATCACTAATATGGGTGACCATTTCCTATCTTTTTTTTTTCCCCCAAAGTGATTATGTGTCTTCTGTAGAAGACTAAATAAACACCAGCGCAGCGAGCCTGTTTGTTTAATTCACTACAGTTCACTTCACGGGCTCTGCACGTACACATCTTGAAAACGAACACACAGTAAATGTTTGAAAAATTTACCCTCCCTCGGCAAGGTATGTACTTAACTTCGGAAGTCGATTGGACAGAATTAGGGGAACTGTGTGAAATGTAAATGTTACCCTTTTAGCCAGCCTTCCTATGTAATGTGAATAAGGTAACCATCCAGGACATCCCAAAACTCTGACCGCCATCAGGTACTCATGCTTCCGGAGCATTTAAACAACCCCATCGTTAATCAGAGTGGTGAAAACTGACAGCTAGACTCCTCCCAGCAGCTGAGTCTGAACTTCCGGAGGCAGCCGCGCGCAGGCGCCAATAAAACAGCGTGGGCTCCACCGGCCCTTGGGGCTAAATTACTTCCCATGATGCCGCGCACCGGAAGTTGTTGCTTTCTGGGGGTTACTCTGGCTTCGGCCCTGTCGCTCTCTTTCTGTCACCAGGAGGAAGACGGAGCAGGCTGCCCAGCCCAAAGGCCCACTAGGGGATGCAGCTATGGGCGCTGTCGCCGTGGGTGAGTTCTGTTCCCACTGACTCGCAGTCACCGCTCGCAGCACGTCCTGCGTTCCGACAGCCCGAATTTCCTGCCTTGACCTCGTTCTCTTCTCGAAGGCTCCTCTTCCTTAAGCACGTTACCTGGCCTCGGCCCGGTACCGCGTTCTCATTGGTTTCATGTCCTGTCAGTTCCAGGAGCTGGCCAATGAGTTGTCGGTGCTGGCGCCCTGTTCGACCCCAGACCCCGAGGTTTCTCCGTGGGTGCGGAGCAGTTGGACGGGAAGGGGAGGTGTGATGGGCGCCGCGCGGCCGGGAGCGCTCTACAGGTTGGGGTTGGGTTTGCTGCCGCGTCCATGCAGTGGTTCGTGGGAAAAAGGATCTGTCATCCCCCAGATGATAGGTTTAGCCAGTGAACCTAGGGTAGGTCAGGTCTGTACCAAACTTGAAAGCCGTGTTGAAGACCGGCTGACAAAAGTTTTCCAAACCCTTACTTTTTTTTTTTTTTTTTTTAATGGAATCGAGCAGGGATGGGAAGACTGGGAAGGGAAGGGAACTGGATTCATACGCGAGCTGTCGAGGCCAGCTTTGATTTACATCTTGTGTGGAGTCCTGCAAAGAGTAATTTGGCTAAGGTGCTGACTCTCATCTGGAAGACTCCCCTGAAAAACTTAATAGATTTATTGATGTTTTATAGCTGATGGTACTCACCAGTCTCTTTTCTCGATTCATTTGATGCCCTTTATAGTTTCTAAAGATTTATTGCAGCGTTTGCCACAGCTTTGCAGTGACCCCCCCTACTGTCCTCTCCCTGAACTAATTACAATTAGTCTTTCAAGTTTTCTTTGGAGTCTGGGCGACTGCAGTCCTCAAACCGGATTTGCTAGTTCTGTTTTCTTCACTACTGGAGACTTCTTCATTCTTTACCTTTTTCTTTTTAAAAAATTTTTTTTTAATGTTTTATTTATTTCTAGGAGAGAGAGAGACAGCGTGAGCAGGGGAGGGTCAGAGAGAGAGGGAGTCACAGTCTCTGAAACAGGCTCCAGGCTCTTGAGCTGGCAGTCAGCCCAGAGCCCGACGCGGGGCTCGAACCCACGAACCGCGAGATCATGACCTAAGCGAAAGTCGGACGCTTAACCGACTAAGCCACCCAGGCGCCCCTACCTTTTTCTTTTTCACCGGAACCTGTTTGCTTCATTCTAATGTGTGCCTATCTTTGTACCTTGTAATCACCTTTTGTCTCAGGTACTGTGTTCTTTTTCTATTTCGATGCAAGAAGTATTTCTTGAGGACCTACTTTGCACTCACAATCATTAGATGCTTTAGGTAATTCGGAACTAATGCCTAAAACCTTTTTTTTTCTCCTAGATCTATACATACCAGATAGAAATAACACGCCCTAGAACTTTACATTCCAGATAGAAATAACACGTGTCCAGGTCAAAGATTTAAGAAGCAGCCCATTATTGTTTCAAGTTAGGGGATCAAATGAGCAGCGCACATTATAGCGAATTGGGGAAATTCAGTTGAGAAGTTTATTTAGAGTAGAATGATTGTCTACAGCTTCATTGAAATGGACAGCCTGGAGGATTGATTAGATTTGAATAGATGGAGAGAATGTCCCAGCTAGAGATCAAAGGCATAGAGATGGGGCCCTGGTGTTTTGGAGGGGATGTTAGGGGAGAGACTGGCTTGATTGGAATGTAAATAGTGGTGGTCTTGGAATTGAAAGACCTGTGTTTTAATTCCATCTCTGCCACCCTGTAATCTTTTGTCATTTTCTTTCTGAATTCCTTCCTATAGCAAAATGATCCCCTTAAAGGGGTGTTGTGAAAAGCAAATAAGATAATGTTTATTAAATGGAAGATCAAAAGCACTGTGTAATTAAACTTTAGTGGTCCTCTGAGAAAGTAATGAGAGTCAGGATTACCAGAGCATTGGGACAATTTATAAAGGGACCATGAGCGCGCAGCTCAGGAGCATGGATGTGATGAAAATAGTATTAGAAGATATATCTGGTACTGGAATGCAGCACAGAGTAGAGTAGTGGAGTGGAGGCAAGAACTTGAGTACTGTTTTTTTCCTCTAAAATCTACAATTCTGAATATGATAAATTATATAACATGTTATTTTAGGGCGACAAAATGTACACAGAATATACCCTAGTTTTATAGATACCAATATACTTTGTGTTCTTTTGTTGTTAGTTAATTCATGTATTTTGTAGACATGGAGACTTGTTACATTTTAGATGATCCTTGGAAAGTTTAACAGTTACTCCATGTGGCAGTCATTTTCCATTAACTATTTTGAATTAACTATATTTCAAAACTCTTATTTGCACTAACCAATTAAGAGCTAGGAGTACTTCTAAGATGCTAAGCCAGGGCAGGATGACAGCTAAGTATCAAATTAATTGGGAATTGTTTTCAAAATATATCTTCCAGGTCCTACTTTCCACTATGTAATCAGAATTTTAATAAGCATCACTGGTAAAATAACTATTATAGTCATTTAGTTGACTTTGGCACTAAGTTATTTTATGTGAAGTACAAGTTTTTAAAATCAGTATTATTTAGTTACATAGACCTGCATGTACTTTCAGCACTTTTGATGTTTTCTAATTTTGAATTGTTGACAAAGGACGTGAAGATTTGATGTGCAGCAAGATTTGTCATAGTCTTC